TCATATGCATCTCATAGAAAGAAACAACAGAACCTTGAAGAAAAAAAGTTAAAGAAATCTACCGAAATTATGGAAGCTAATATAGACACTGACCAGGAAGAATCAGATGTTATAAAAAGAGAACTTGAAGCAATACGTTAAAAAAATAAATAAAGGGCAGTACTATTAAGTCAAGGGCCAAATGGGTGGAGAAAGGGGAGAAACCAACTTCTTATTTTTTGAATCTTGAAAACAGAAATTTTACTTCCAAAATTATTCCTAAAATTCAGAAGGATAATGATATAATTACAAATCAAGATGATATTTCAAAATAAGTTAAACTATTTTATGAAAACTTATACAAATATAAAGAAGTTATCCCTATTGATTTGGATCATCATCTCCATGACTGTAGTGTCCCTAAGTTAACTGATACTGAGTCCAATTATTTAGAAAGTATTATTACATTTGAGGAGGCGGGAAAGGCATTGAAAGATATGAAAAACAATAAGAATCCAGGTTCAGATGGCTTTACTTCAGAATTCTAAAAAACTTTTTGGAAATTCGTTGGTATTTTTGTGATTCGTTCTGTCAATTACAGTTTTTCAGTAGGCCAACTATCAATCACTCAGAGACAAGGTGTTATAACTTGCTTACCTAAGGGAGATAAGTCTTGTCATTTAAAAAAGAACGGAGAACTATTTCTCTCTTAAACATTACATATAAAATAGCATCAGGAGTAATTTCATATAGATTAAAATCAGTTTTAGGAAAGCTTATTAATGAAGATCAGACCGGATTCTTATCTGGGCGTTATATTGGGGAAAACATTTGTACTATTTATGATGTAATGCGTTGTGCAGAAGATCTGAATATTCCGGGAATGTTACTAATGGTGGACTTCGAAAAGGCTTTTGATTCAGTTTCTATTTTATTGATAATGTTCTTCGTTACTCTAATTTTGGATTGGATATTAGGAATTGGTTAAAATTTTGAATACTAATGTTTATTCAGTGGTTAATCGGAGGGGGGAGGGGGGGGGGTTGTAACATTTCTAGACCAATTAACATTCAGCGTGGTTGTCGTCAAGGAGACCCAGTCGCCCCATATATTCTTATATTATGTGTTGAAGATCTAGCTGCAAGAATTAGAAACAATGAAAATAATAATGTTTCTATTTTAAATGTGCAATATGCTGATGATACAGGTCTGATTCTGGATGGAACTGAAAAATCGCCGAGGGAATCTATGGCTGAACTGAATACTTTTGCTAATATATCAGGGTTAAATATTAACAACAGTAAGTCACAGGTTATTTGGATAGGAAGTAATAAATATAGCGAGGAAGCTTTTCTTCCAGAGATAAATCTACTTCGGGGTAAGAATAAGTTTACTTTTTTTAGGAATTGGTTTTTCTGTTAACCACAATGAAATTCTTGGAATGAATTTTGATAAGAAACTTGTAAAATTAAAGGCACGTATTAATATGTGGGAAAGACGAAGGCTTACTCCATTAGGTAGAATCAATATAATAAAATCTTTGTTAATTTCCCAGTTCAATTATTTATTTATTACCCTATCAAATCGTTCCAATAATTTTCTTGGTAAACTGATCTCTATTTTATTTAATTTCCTCTGGAATGGTAAACAACATAAGATAAAAAAGACGTGGTCTTTCAGAATTATATAGACGGGGGATTAAAAATGATAGATTTGTAGCTTTCATAGATTCTCTCAAACTAGGCTGGATCAGAAGAATATTTCACTCATCAGGGAAATGGAAAATATTATTGAATACTATCATAGATGAGAAAAAAATGTTAAATTGTGGGATAGAATATGTTAACTCTTGTTATTTAAATTGTAGAAATGCATTCTGGAAAGACGTATGACTAAACTAACTCGGAGCTTATTAGGCAATGTTATTTCAAATCTCCTTTAAAAAGTCCTTTTTGGTATAAGAAAGACATTCAGGTGGGGAATAAATGAGTTTTATCCAAGATGGTATACATACTATAAATGACCCTGTAAAGAATTATGAAGACATGACGTTTTATTCTTTTTTAATGAGTTTAGTCACCTTTTCCCAATAATTAATGCCAATTACTTGCAGTACTTCGGTCTAATCACATCTACGAAGCAATTTCTACGGAAGAACGAACTTCAGATTGTACAGTGTCAACAACCTTTCATACCACTTCTCCATGAAATATTTTTCAAAAGCAAAAAAGGTTCAAAGGATTTCTGTAACTGTTTAATTAAACCGCCACCGATACCTACTGGAATTCAAAAGTAGGGGGTAGAGTTTGACTTTGAACATAAGAGGAAAAATATTCTAAGAATCCCAGTTATCACCACTAAACATTCAAAACTTCAGTGGTTCCAAATTCTTTTCTCTTCAAAATTAATTTAAGTCCTAGTCCTTTGTGTAATTTATGAATGATGGAAAGGGAGACCATTGTACACTGTTTATGGGAGTGTGTCGAGGTGCAGACATTGTTAGAGAGATTTGAATCACTTCTCAACATTTTCTTGATTCCATTTTGGATGAACAAAGTAACTTATCTCTTTGGTATTCTTTCTCCTAAGGCTAATGTTGTAGGTAATGAAATTTTAATTATGATTATACATTATATATATAAGACAAGATGTCTGCACAAGTCTCTAAGTTTAATTGGTCTCATTAAATACAATAAAAGATCACTTCCGAGTACAAAACTGCATTGTTTCTTCTAAAAATTGCCGCACAAAAAGGACTTTTGAAAACAACTGGAAAAAATGGAAACCTTTTTTGGAATTGTAAGCTTCATTTTGAGCCGCTTTCTCCATTGACCTTGACATCACCACAATTTCAGTTATCATTTTATTTTTTTTCATTTTGACCTATAAATTAACTATAAATGTAGAAATAGGCAGTATCTGAGATAGCCCTCCAGCTTCTTTCTTCCTCTTTGTGATGATGATGATGATGATGACGATGATGATGATGATGATGATGATGATTGAGGTCTGTTGATAATGCATTGCGAAAGATGGTGTTTGATAATGATGATATGTTGCGTACAATTTATATATATGTATATATATCATTTATGATGATGATGGCTAGTAAAATGTAACTAGAGTGAAAATAATATTAGTCCCTTAAATATCGTGGTGTGTCTGTGTATTGGTGTGTGTGAGGGCGTGTGTGTACTCCGACCATGTGTGAGTTGGCATGGGTGTGAGTGAAATATTTATGTTTTGAAAAATCGTCGAAAAGTAAACAAAAAATTATGAATTAAAAAAAAGAACTATTTGGATTCTTCTTTGTAATTTTGAACCGTAATTATCAACAAGGATAAAAGGATATTAGTATAACAATGTTTCAGCGTAATACAAATAAAATCAAGCAATAGGGACATGCCAAGATAACAGAATCCTAGTGAACATGCAGGAAATTCAAATTGTATATGTTAGTCCAGTATTTCGAGAAACAAAAATCTAACGAAGGCATTGAGAATAATAAATGAATTTCAATTTACTCAGTTGATAGCTTCCTTACTGACCACATAAATATTAGCATAATCCATTGTTACCATCTTAATCCTATTCTTCACATATTCATGTATCAATTAGACAGAATATATGACTTCATTAATATAACAATTTGACTAATTGTTGCTCGACGAAACCAATCATATGGTCCTTCTAGAGTTCATTTAATTTCATCCTGTCCGACTCCCAGGAGAGGACTGTCAATGAACAATTATTTTTGTGCTGGCATAATTGATTTTTTGTACAATGTAAGTGAACGAAAACTTGAACGACTTGCCGTTTAATGTGATGCATATAAAATCAGTTGTACAATTCAGAAATCTATGATAACAATACTATCATTTCTCTTTAAATTTCACAAAACAGTCCGTTCCGAATAAATCAAAATTATTCAGAGATTGTACAAAAGAAACACAAGTGAAAAGCAACTTTTAATAATCTAGGGTTGTACAAAAGACGCAGAAGTGAAAAGCAACTTTTAATAATCTAGGGTTGTACAAAAGACACAGAAGTGAAAAGCAACTTTTAATAATTTGGGGTTGTACAAAAGACACAATTAAATAGTAAACTTTTAATATATTATACATTGTACAACAGCCACACAAGTGAACAGCAGCCTTTTAATAATCTAGGGTTGTACAAAAGACACACAATTGAAAGGTAACCTTTTAATACATTAGACATTGTACAACAGACACACAAATGTATAGCAACTTTTCATGAATTAGAGTAAGATACAGTTGAGCCATACCATGATTTAAACTGCATCTTACCGCTGTTTTGTCCTTCTAGGATATTGAACCCAAAGTTTCGACTGAAGAAAATCTTAAGTAATCGAATGAAAAGTCAAAATCTACACTGGGAAGTGCTACAAACCCATAACATAATAAATTTTGTAATTTTCATATAAGTCAACCAACCTGGCACGACCTTAAATGACCCCGGCTGTTAATAGGATTTATAGTAACAATTAACCAAACAAAACCTTAAACAACTAACTACCTAGCAACCATAGGTTTCTATAGAGACAATGCAATTCCGATGTCTTGTGTCTTTTCTGCATTATTGTAATGCTATGTATTATTAAGTTCCAATTTTCATTTTGTTTATCTTAGCTGCTCAGTCTTAATGATATACGTAACAAAACTGCCGGTGACTCGATGTCACGAGTTAACTCGACATTAAGTTAAAATTTGAATTGCCACTCATTAGCATATTCTTCCTTCATATCGGCGTTGAAATAGTGATCACATCTTAAGTCGATTGGACAGAGCGCTTGGTAAGGAAAAAGTCTAAGTTATCCTAGCATATCGTTGTCAATAATTCAAACCTTGGTGTCTTGGTTAAATACATATTGATTGTGTGTTTAAGGAATAATTGCTGATGGATCTTTGTCTCAATAGAGACAGGCATCGTTTTTGTAATGCTGGGATCTTTCACGAGGGGTCAGAGACATGAGCGTTTTACTTAGAATTTCTGTGATAATTTCAAATATTGTTGGTATATATTGTGTTTCCAACGGAAAATTCATTCGTATAGATGGATATATGTTATCAGGTGCTTTCAGTTCTATATCTAAAATATCAAGAATAAAATGTGCAGACATGTGTCTCCAGACATCTTGTTTGTCTATCAACTACCACAGCCAGAATGAGGAGTGTCAACTGAATACAGACTCCCCCTACACCAACCCGGTGATAGTACAGGAAGTACAAGACTGGGCAATCTACTTCCTACAGAAAGGTCAAGTATATAGAAACATCAGACAATAAGACAATAAGAATGATATCGATGTATATATAGTGTGTCACAAGTCTGGGCAAATAGCCTCGACATAAGAATATTACATGTGTATAGTATCTACATAATTTAAATGGTATACGAAAAGAATGTCTTCAAACATTCTTCTATATTACTCATGTATTATATTTTATCTAACATAAAAAAGATAGTTCTAGACTTCCATGTTGTTGTGCGTCCTTTGGTGGTAATGATATTGGTAGTTCTGATGTCGCAGGGTATTATTCGAACATTTATAAACATTAGTCGGGTGTTTATTCATTAAATATATCATTTCAGTCAGATATAAATATCAAGTGCTTACAAAAGAAAGAATCCACTCAGTGGTTCTTGACTATTGGATTTACTGTAATATGTTGGCAAATAAAGTGGTGAATAAATGTAACTATCGAGATATAGAAAGTGCACAATGGGGAAGTCAGACGATTGTTTTACAGATAAATCGTTGCCACTCAGTGACATAATCCTCAGTTAGATGAATTAGCCGAAGGAATTTGAAGCACAAACTGCCATTTTCCTTCACAGATGTAAAGACAAGAACAGCGTAATATTACTAGTACACAATGTACAGTTTCGTTGTCTTGAGATAGCAGATGGTAGACACTGATGGTGGACTTAGAGTCCACACGGGATGCCGTAATTTATACGGCACGTTTTAATTCATTCGAAGAATGGCATGTTATTGTAATGCTATGTATTATGAAGTTCAAATTTTCATTTTGTTAATCTTAGCTGCTCAGTCTTAATGATGTACGTAACAAAACTGACGGTGACTTGATGTCACGAGTTAGCTCGACATTAAGTTAAAATTTGAATTGCCACTCATTGGCATATTCTTTCTTCATATCGGCGTTGAAATAGTGATCACATCTTAAGTTGATTGAACAGAGCGCTTGGTTAGGAAAAAGTCTAAGTTATCCTAGCATATAGTTGTCAATAATTCAAACCTTGGTGTCTTGGTTACATACATATTGATTGTGTGTTTAAGAAATAATTGCTGATGGATCTTTGTCTCAATAGAGACAGGCGTAGGTTTTTGTAATGTGTGGTAAACACTGATAGTGGACTTTAAATATTAAATAAAATAAAGTCTGTATGGCACATTTTAATTCATCCGAAGAGTGGCACGATTCAGAATATATATGTACCTGAAGTTGTTTTAAAATCATTTAATTAATGAAAGTAACGAAATTTATTCAATTTTGGGGCTTCTGCACCTCCCCGAACATATTTTGACGTTTCTTTCGTTTACTTTGGAATTTCCTCAGACGCCTCCTAGGCTTCAACAGTAAGGCCCTTGGCATCACTGACAAGTACTAGATGGACGAAAGAGCAGTATGATGCAGTATGATTCATTGTTTGGCTATACTGCATCTAAATCTAAATCATTGAAAAGTGCTATTTAATTTTTCTACAATTTACGAAATGTACTGTAATATCGGGTTGGTGAATCCCACATTCCATATTTTAAAATTTCTGCGATGAATTTTGATTTTCATTATTCGGCTCTTAAAATAAAATAAATCAGACCCTTAACATCAGTGACAGACCTAGGAGAATTATACAAATGACACAAGAAAGAAGCATACTTCGATACAGAATTAGATACAGAAAGGTCAAATAATGACATTGTACATAGCTTATGTTTGTGTATGGTACTAAACATTTTCAGTTGAAACGTACAGCATACGTCAAATTAATTGTGACACAGCTTTATTACTGACCTACTCACTCCAAGTGACGGCACAAATATATTGTCAGTGATTGAATAATTACAGTACGTCATAGTCGGTTATTTAACATCTATCGTTAGTTCCAAATAGTTGGAAACGGGAAATATCAAATAGGTTATTTATTACAAAAAAAAAAAAAAATAATAAATAAATAAATAAACACATTTGAAAATATAGACAGCTAATTGCTAGAGGAAAGAATTGTACACGATTGTCTTTTAAATTACCTCCTGTAGTATATAAAAGTAATGCAGTATAATAAGTAAGAGTTATAGATGGAACCGTTACATATGTCTCTCAAACACAACCGTAGTCGTGATTGATGCACACAGTGTTAAATTAAAATTGAAACAAAATGTGATAAAAATAGAACAATATTGGATTTCACCACATTTGTCGTCTGTGTAGGGCATCAATTTTGTCCAATAAGAACAATGGCATTATCATTGTGTTTGTCGTGTAGTAAGTACAACATCTATGTACGATGTTCATCAAAATTGGACAGTATGTAAATTTCAATCAAAACTTTCTCTCGGCAGTCATTTTTATAAATCAGAAAAAGGACAACATTGTGTACCTGATCTCAATAATACACATACACCAATTATCTCGTAAAGATTAGCCAATCAGAAGCCACCATGTGGCCGCTATCCTGTCCAATAAGAAGACAGATGCCGCCATTGTGTTTCTGTTGTGATACCTTACTTACTTACCCATGTTTTTTATTATTAAAATCGGACGATATCTAAATTTTGGTCTACGTATTACCAAACATTAAGGTTTAAGGAATGGCTTAATGGCTTGGTGCAATAACACCATATCAGGTTTAAGGAATTTAAGTACATTGTACGTAGGGAATATTGACACTCTGATTCCAAATTCTTATATGGTTTAATTACACGAAGTCATTTTTAATATGATGTTATTGCACCAAGCCTTTTCTGATATGGTGTTATTGCACCAAGCCATTTCTGATATGGTGTTATTTCACCATGCTATTTCCGATAAAGTGTTATTGCACCAAACCATTTCTGATATGGTGTTATTTCACCATGCTATTTCCGATAAAGTGTTATTGCACCAAACCATTTCTGATATGGTGTTATTGAACCAAGCCTTTTCTGATATTTTGTTATTGCACCAAGCCTTTTCTGATATTTTGTTATTGCACCAAGCCTTTTCTGATATGGTGTTATTGCACCAAGCCATTTCTGATATGGTGTTAATGCACCAAGCCATTTCTGATATTGTACCAAGCCATTTCTGATATGGTGTTATTGCACCAAACCATTTCTGATATGGTGTTAATGCACCAAACCATTTCTGATATGGTATTATTGCACCATACAATTTCTGATATGGTGTTATTGCAACAAGCCATTTCTGATATGGTGTTTTTACAACAAGCCATTTCTGATATGGTGTTAATACACCAAGCCATTTCTGATATGGTGTTAATGCACCAAGCCATTTCTGATATGGTGTTAATGCACTATGCCATTTCTGATATGGTGTTATTGCACCATACCATTTCTGATATGGTGTTAATGCACCAAACCATTTCTGATATGGTGTTATTGCACCAAGCCTTTTCTGATATGGTGTTATTGCACCAAGCCTTTTCTGATATGGTGTTATTGCACCAAGCCATTTCTGATATGGTGTTAATGCACCAAGCCATTTCTGATATTGTACCAAGCCATTTCTGATATGGTGTTATTGCACCAAACCATTTCTGATATGGTGTTAATGCACCAAACCATTTCTGATATGGTATTATTGCACCATACAATTTCTGATATGGTGTTATTGCACCAAGCTATTTCTGATATGGTGTTAATGCACCAAGCCATTTCTGATATGGTGTTAATGCACTATGCCATTTCTGATATGGTGTTAATGCACCAAGCCATTTCTGATATGGTGTTAATGCACTATGCCATTTCTGATATGGTGTTAATGCACCATGCCATTTCTGATATGGTGTTAATGCACCAAGCCATTTCTGATATGGTGTTATTGTACCAAGCCATTTCTGATATGGTGTTATTGCACCAAACCATTTCTGATATGGTGTTATTGCACCAAGCCATTTCTGATATGGTGTTATTGCACCAAGCCTTTTCTGATATGGTGTTATTGCACCAAGCCATTTCTGATATGGTGTTATTGCAACAAGACATTTCTGATATGGTGTTATTGCAACAAGCCATTTCTGATATGGTGTTAATACACCAAGCCATTTCTGATATGGTGTTAATGCACCAAGCCATTTCTGATATGGTGTTAAAGCACTATGCCATTTCTGATATGGTGTTATTGTATCAAGCCATTTCTGATATGGTGTTAATGCACCAAACCATTTCTGATATGGTGTTATTGCACCAAGCCATTTCTGATATGGTGTTATTGCACCAAGCCTTTTCTGATATGGTGTTATTGCACCAAGCCATTTCTGATATGGTGTTATTGCAACAAGCCATTTCTGATATGGTGTTATTGCAACAAGCCATTTCTGATATTGTTAATACACCAAGCCATTTCTGATATGGTGTTAATGCACCAAGCCATTTCTGATATGGTGTTATTGTACCCAGCCATTTCTGATATGGTGTTATTGAACCAAGCCTTTTCTGATATGGTGTTATTGCACCAAGCCTTTTCTGATATGGTGTTATTGCACCAAGCCTTTTCTGATATGGTGTTATTGCACCAAGCCATTTCTGATATGGTGTTAATGCACCAAGCCATTTCTGACATGGTGTTATTGTACCAAGCCATTTCTGATATGGTGTTAATGCACCAAGCCATTTCTGATATGGTGTTAATGCACTATGCCATTTCTGATATGGTGTTATTGTATCAAGCCATTTCTGATATGGTGTTAATGCACCAAACCATTTCTGATATGGTGTTATTGCACCAAGCCATTTCTGATATGGTGTTATTGCACCAAGCCATTTCTGACATGGTGTTATTGCACAAAGCCATTTTTGATATGGTGTTATTGCACCAAGCCATTTCTGATATGGTGTTAATACACCAAGCCATTTCTGATATGGTGTTAATGCACCAAGCCATTTCGGACATGGTGTTATTGTACCAAGCCATTTCTGATATGGCGTTATTGCACCATACCATTTCTGATATGGTGTTAATGCACCAAGCCATTTCTGATATGGTGTTATTGTACCCAGCCATTTCTGATATGGTGTTATTGCACCATACCATTTCTGATATGGTGTTAATGCACCAAGCCATTTCTGATATGGTGTTATTGTACCAAGCCATTTCTGATATGGTGTTATTGCACCAAGCCATTTCTGATATGGTGTTATTGTACCCAGCCATTTCTGATATGGTGTTATTGCACCAAGCCATTTCTGATATGGTGTTATTGTACCAAGCCATTTCTGATATGGTGTTAATGCACCAAGCCATTTCTGATATGGTGTTATTGTACCCAGCCATTTCTGATATGGTGTTATTGCACCATACCATTTCTGATATGGTGTTAATGCACCAAGCCATTTCTGATATGGTGTTATTGTACCCAGCCATTTCTGATATGGTGTTATTGCACCAAGTTATTTCTGATATGGTGTTATTGTACCAAGCCATTTCTGATATGGTGTTATTGTACCCAGCCATTTCTGATATGGTGTTATTGCACCATACCATTTCTGATATGGTGTTAATGCACCAAGCCATTTCTGATATGGTGTTATTGTACCAAGCCATTTCTGATATGGTGTTAATGCACCATGCCATTTCCAGTATAGTGTTTTTAAACCATGTTATTTCCTTTACGCTGTTAATGAACCATGTCATTTTTTATATCGTGTTTCTGCACCATCTTGTTTATGATTATTCCAATTATCGTGGGATCCCGTTGACGATGTTTATAAAATCATGGCCGGTTATTGTTATAGATATATTATCTTTATGCAGACAATGATTGGGAGATGGTTTTCAGGGCCATGTCTAACAATGGCCTTAGAACCGCAGACGCTTGGATGGGTACGCCGCCTCCACCGACTCCAGTAGAGGAGGGATGTCGTCTGCTTACAACATCATCCACGTGTACGTCCATATATAGAAGCGAACACCTGAATACGTGGAATTCGGAAAACATTTCTGAGGCAAGTTGTAGTCAATTATGCAAATTATTTATCGAATACTCATATCCTTATCCTTATTTTATCCTTCTGGTCTTTTGTTATGCTTTTTTCAGCCGCAACATAGCCAAAAAGATATTTAACATTGATAAGAACACATAAATGTTTGAGGCAATAAAATATAATGTCAGAACATTGTGAATACATTTTCAATTCATTTAATATTTAGCTAAACAATGAAACTGCATTGCATTCTAATTTTGAAAATCTGATGACGCGGAGCAAAATTCGAAATAGAGAGAAACTATGTCATATTGTCATGAAATGATGATACACTTTACATGTGGTATCACCCAAAAATTCAAATTACAATTTTCTAAAGATTGTAACACAAACTTTCTTGTCGACTAAATTGTTTGGTCTAATCTAATCTAATTTTGCATGGTCGAATGGCGCAGTAATAGCGAACTCGCTCTCACCGAGGTGCTTGGGGTTCAATTGATCGAAAGGACGTGAAAAGGTATGGGGGTCACCTGCCCGACCATGTAGGTTTTTCACGCGTATTTCTATTTCATCTCACAGCAAGGACCTTCAGGCTAACAAGAACGATTTCTCGAAGTTGTTTTTAAATAAATAAGGATTCGTTCAATACAATAGGGTCGAACGTTATTTCGAAGTCGGTGGGATAGTTGGAAAACTTTGCGTCATTTGAGTATTCGATTTAAACGAGATCGAACATTTGGTGAAAATTTTGACCGGGACAGATAACTCGTGATAACAAGGGTCTATGGGAATGATAACTGTTTCCACAGTGGTTATTGAGACTTTTTTTTCAAATATTAATAAGATAACTACACACAATATTTTACAAATTTAGAGATATGGAATACCTAACATCATAACATTATTGTTGCAGTTTGTCGCTTGATTATGATTTCTACACGTTCAGGAACAAGTTCGTGCAGGACGAAAACAAAGTGTGACACATTCGAAGACCGGCGTACTGAGTCTTTCGTTTTAAGGTGTTGTCATTCCTATTAATGTTTAATTCGGGTTCCATAAAAGAACAGAGATGAGACTACAAGAAGTTTTAAAAACTAAATAATAATAGTGATGAGCTTGTTTAGTAACATTTCTCATTGACAGGTTAAGCTAGAACTCTACAAAGCCGGTGTCAGAGTGGTAAACATCCGCTTTGATGGTAAAGGATCGAATTATATCGACTGGTTTGGGACCAACAGATTGATAGACAGTGGCTGGAAGACCATGTCTAAAAGTCGCCTATTCGAGCACTTCTCAATCTATGGGTAAGTTTACATGATCCAATAGGGAAAAATGTCTAGCAAAAGTTTCAATGGTACAACAACAAACTTGTTTACTGTCAGAAGAAAGTCATCTACCGCTCTACTTTGTTTTGAACAGGTTTTGTTGGAGGAAGTTTTACATCAATCAGAGCTTTGGGGGTTGCAGTAACGATCAGGGATGGATGGTAGTGATAGATGTTAACTTAGAATCTTGTAGTTGTCGTTATGATATCCAATCTGACAGACCTGCATTCCTGTTCGCTCCAGGCGAGGATATCACACGATGGAATAATCACAGTAAGTAGTATCTTAATACACAGCAAATGAAATATCCAAGCATGTGCACAAGTGTTCCACATCAGACAGTGCTCTCATATCACTCCAAACATTGTCAAAATTAACCACAAGACACTTCCGAAACATCAACAGTTTCTTACTTCAAATCGAAAATCGATTAAAAATGAGAGCAAACTAGGAAAAATAAAAGAATTGCAGACAATGTCTTCTGCTTCATCGACGACACATACTATTTTGATATTGGTCGGCCAAAATGAATGTAATGTTACTCCTGTCATGGCGATGGATTTCATATCTTTCATGTCTGTTTATAATATTAACTATCTCATATATTGTGATTGTAACACAGGCTAATTATTAACTCGTTAACAAAACAGAAAAAAGGAAATCCTAACTTTAACTTAAGAGAGTAGCCAGTAGAAAATTGTATACGACAATTTTGTTTCATGAATTCATAGAAAAAAAACATAATGAGAATACATGTATGTGATAAATATCTATATTTGTTTGAAGCATGGTATAATGTCGATAATTTAAAAAAAAAAAAAAAAAAGAATATCTTTCAAAACTTGTCTTGAAAATGCTGCATTGATTATGATGTTGAATAAGATAAAAGGTCATAAATAAAAATGTTATACTTTAAAACGTCATCATTGACCTGCTGTGTCTCCAGAATTATCGCTTATCGAGCAGATAAATTGGATCAATGTCTGCGTCACGAGCCAAATCCTTCTGCAAGTTACGGCGTACATTATCATATAACAGAACATACCCCAGGCATTTTTCATTTCTTGACCAATTCAGTTGTACATGCAGATGTGCAGCATGCATCAATGCAAATGTTGGACAAACACACTATTGAACTTGTGAAACTGATTATGCACTCTTTCTTCCTTTTTGGACCTGTCATCTTCAATCCTGATTGAATGATTGGCAGATTCACTGTCGTTATGAAGATAATACATCGCGAAGGAAGACTTATGTGAAAAATGTACCATGTCATTTTACGTAAGAATCTATATTTTCCCAATTATTATATCAAAAGTGTATAAAATTTGGAAAGAATGTTACAAATGTTCATGTTCCACGTAATATAAACTTCTTTCACTTTCCAAACATTGTTTATCATACCTAGAATATCACAAGTTCAGTTTCCGGTCGCAATCATGACTTTACTATATTCAATATTGATATTCTATATAGTTTGATCTGCGCGTTCTTTGTTATTGTAACTCCGGTGTTGCTATCTCGGTTTCGACTTTCTGATTATATCATAACCGTCACTTACGGAATAATTCATTCGTCTTTTTCCTTCGTTTAATTTCAAATACTTTATTTTGCGCAATTTTAGTTAAACTACAGATATGTTTGTAATGAAACCTTACTCATTCACCGCTATTACGTATACAGCAGAGGATACCAAGACGCACATGATTAACAGGTAAAAACACGTGAAATGCAGGAGGCCGTAACTATCAACAATCTTTCATTAGTGTCATTATCAAGAATACGTTCATTGCATATTCTATTTGAAATAGAGCTACCGCTATGTTTACTTGGTTCTTCACGGTACTTACACTTAATGAAAAGGAAGGTTAATGTTTCTAATAGATTGACATCAACACCTTTCGAATGTATTCCAACAAGTGAATAGAATCATTTCATATAGATTAAGAGTTAGATACAGAAAAGCCAAACAATGAATTAAGTTCGTCACTGATGCTAAGGCCCTAAATTTTAATGCCTAAGAAGCGGCTGAGGTATAATTAAAGTGATCTAAAAGAAAGTCAAAATTTAGGTGGGAGGTGTACTAGCCCCAAAATTTTACAAATTTCTTTATTTTCATTTATCACATAATTTTAGAGCAATGTCAACATGTATGTGTTTTAAGCTGTACCAGTATTTTAACGAATTACAACGTGGCATGAAGGTAACGATAAACCCCGGGGACTTAACGTCTACCAGCAGTGTCCACCACCTGCAATTTCAAACATTGTACAAAATACACAAGTGGATAACATCATGTATTTAATATATGCAGAAAACACGTATCCCATGCACCAAAGGGTCCCTGGTGGGGCCCGCAATGGGCCGTTGATTGTTACATTGGTGACATATGTTTGCTGGAAGTGTTTGATGAGCGTTAATTTGTTGATGCCATTGGTGTATACACAATAAGCACGATAACATTGAAATTCCAAGAATAAGTGTTTACCTTTTGTCATGATTATAAAGTGCGTTGATTTCTCTTCATCTACCATCCTGTATGTCTTGGTTGTGTAACCACAACACAACTTTGTATTCATCGTGCCTCAGAATAATTCATACATTGAGAACCTTAAACTGTTTTAACGACACTTTTTATTACACAAGGGATCAATAACGTTTTCATGGAACATCAATAAATGTGAACATATTAACAGTGTTTATAAAAGATTAATCTCATTTCATGTAACTGTTTTCACGCTTGAATAGCATATGGGTAATTATCTACTTCGAGCCTATATAACGGCAACATTAACGTTATAGATAGGAACAGTAACGGTCCTCTGAAGCGAAACGAAAAAGTCTATCACACATTTATCATTGGTTCGAAGCTAAGATCGTACTCTCTGAACCATACAAGGATTGATATAAGCATGTACGTAAGATAGCATATTGTGACATGGTACCAAACATTCTTTAAATGTATTTATCTATTCTAGCTATAGACTCGAGCCTTGTGTTTATAGGTTATTGTACGACTTTCGAGTAACGAGTACGCTGAAAGATAGTGAGTGTGCAGTGAGTCGGTCCTGACAAATCATACAATAACTGTAAATCTCTTTGTACGAACAAACTATGTACTCCAGCTATAGCGTCGACGGGATATCGTGCAATAACTGATTTACTACATACTTCTCGAACAAAGCATAAGGAATGACCCATACCCTGACTCTTCATCTTTGTCTCGGTATCAGCGACCTCTCAGTAATGATACCAATCTGTTTTTCCCCTTAAAACTGACGTTAGGAAAAGCAGTCAGATAATGTTTTAAATTCTGCGACAAGGAGTTGCTTTAAAACGTACTGCCAACTGTGTGAAGTTTTGAAAATTAAGAAATAATCAAGACTTTATTATCAATGAGCATTTATTATATAATATATCTTAGATTGGTCCGTTCATATGTGTCATCGAATTATCGATATTAAATTATTGATAATATCCCATTTTCCTACATGTTAGTTATCAAACATGTTTTACCACATCTCAGTGCACATGCATTCCATTGTGATTTTATCATGGATACTTATGAAAAGTGATTAAGTGTGTAGTGGACTGTGGTAGCAAATTATTCATTACCCACTCCGTTGCATTGTGAAAGCTGTGTTGTTTTGTATAGGTTATGAGGTATTAGCCTATGACCGAGCAGATGTTACTATAACCATATATTCTACCTCTGTGTCTAAATTTGTTCCATTTTTACCTATAACCTGGCAGGTGTTACTCTAGCCATATATTCTACCTCTATGTCTAAATTTGTAACATTTTCACCTGTAGCCTATGACCGGGCAGATGTTACTCTAGCTACATATCCTACATTTGTGTCTAAATTTGTTACATTTTTACCTATAACCTATGACCTGGCAGGCGTTACTCTAGCCATATATTCTACCTCTGTGTCTAAATTTGTTACATTTTCACCTAAAGTCTATGACCGAACAGATGTTACTCTAGCCATATATTCTACCTTTGTGTCTAAATTTGTTACATTTTCACCTGTAGCCTATGACCGAACAGATGTTACTCTAGCTACATATTCTACCTTTGTGTCTAAATTTATTTGCATTTTTACCTATAACCTATGACTTGGCAGGCGTTACTCTAGCCATATATTCTACCTCTGTATCTAAATTAGTTACATTTTCACCTGTAGCCTATGACCGAACAGATGTTACTCTAGCCATATATTCTACCTTTGTGTCTAAATTTGTTACATTTTCACCTGTAGCCTATGACCGAACAGATGTTACTCTAGCTACATATTCTACCTTTGTGTCTAAATTTGTTATGTTTTCACCTAAAGCCTATGACCGAACAGATGTTACTCTAGCCATATATTCTATCTTTGTGTCTAAATTTGTTACATTTTGTGTCTAAATTTGTTCTGTTTTTACCTATAGATTATGACAGAGCAGACGTGTTAGCAATATTTATCAAACGCTGAATGGGTCTACAGAAACACGGATCATGGACAAATAGCATGTGATTCCTGGAGGCAGATGATCCTTTGAAGTAGAGATAGTGTACACATGTATTGACATGGCGGTATGTTTTAATTAGACTTATGTGTATATTAAAATGACGCTATGGATTAACCTAGACATAGGATATGCATTTAACTCGAGATGTTGGTTAATACAGCCAATGGTTATGCAAGCGATCAAATCAATAGACCTGATGGCGAATCGAAGAGGATATCATAAATGGAATTTTTATCATTTCTAATGGATGTAAAGGAGTAAATTCAATAGAAGACAACTGAAACATTGAACGGATGTAAGAATAGTCAATTTCGTCAAGAACACATAACAATACAGTAATATCGTTTGCAAATATAGTCCCACTTTTACATTGTATTGCGTAGTACCATGTAATATCACATTATGTGCTAACCCAAACATAACTGGCGTTATTGACAATATTGGCTAATTAAGATATACAAATGTATTTGTGTTTCTTTTTTAAGATTCTGTCTTCTGTCTTCTGTCACAAAACTACTGATATGTAATCACATGATTTGCTGCTTTGTTACTCTCTGTTTTATATTGTTGGCATACAATAAATAGCATGAGCTAATATTCGTTGTTGATAAGTGTGTTATGCTAAATAATGTTTCTTTTATCTAGTATTTTTTACCTCGGATATATCTAGCTGAACTCTTGCTTCACAGAATCACTATGAATTACAGTCTCATATTTCCAAATTGTGAATTTTCCATTCTAGATAGCAACATTCCTGTATTCCCAACCTGTAGTGTTAACTTATCGTAGTTGATTAGATATTCTGGTCTGTTCCGAATATAAGGATTTTCGTGCAAGATGTTGTCAACAGACAAACAAACTCATAACACAGGGTTTCAAGAGACACAGGCTGTAGAAAATTAAGATGAACTTTTATGGTCGTCATGGTAATTTCTGGGAGATTTATAATACTCACGATATGAAGCTCGTGTTTAATGCTCGTTAGAAGATTGCGTGTTGTTTTAGAGGATGTATTCCTTGTTTTGAGAACAAAACATTACTTGCTTGGATTGTCAAGATTCACATGGCCGTGTCATTGATGAAGCAGGAGACACTTACTCTACCAGGAAAATCTGAACTTAGTCTTATTGTACTTTTGTCATGAGTCTCCGTGTCAATCTTCGTTATGTTCATAATTTGCCATAGATTTGTTGGATTTTGATTCTGATTGTGTTCATATATTTTTGTAATCTTGTTTTGATATATTAATGATATATAGGCAAAAGCAACACAGAATGACCCAAATGTTCAATGTATAATTAACAACATCCAGATACTTCGCGATATGTCTCGCACTTACACCATGGCACAAGATAAAAACCATGTGACATTATAAGTTTATATTGAAATGAGGCCAGTAGATAGATATATGTACATTCAGCATGATCGATGTATTTTGTTGTAAATCCAGCAATAAACAATACCGATAATATCAATGGCAATATATATTTAAGTCAAACAAAAGGAAGACTAGCAAAACCTATCGTTGTACTCAGCAGGAGAGTCCCCGTAATGGTCTTGGCGTTTGTATCCAGAAGGTGAGTTGTAAAACCTGTAAAGGTCATAGAGGTTGTAATCAGAATACAACCGCCAGGGCCTATACGGATTTTACAAGTCACCTTCAGGATACAACCGCCATGGCCGACAAGGGCTTTACAAGTCACCTTTTGGATACAACCGCCAGGGCCGACAAGGGCTTTACAAGCCAGCTTCAAGTTACAACCGCCAGGGTCAATAAGGGCTTTAGTAGTCACCTTCTGGATGCAAATGAACCTAGTTCTCCATAATTTCTTACTACCATGCAGTAATCATAGCCTTGCAGAATGGTGTCCAATTCTTGTTCATCTTTACAAAAGGTTTCATATTAACCTCATATTACATACGAGAGTAATCAAACGAGATTCGATCTGCTATCACACGCTATTTACGTTCCTTAAACACATTCATTTTAGTTTGAAAACGGTGTAGATATACATAGACTTAACCACGTTCATAACATGGATTCAGAATTGGATTTAAAATAGATTCATATCTAATCTAAGATTGCCACGTGTGCTAACATTGATTTAGAAGATTCGTTCAGACATTAACAACTGCACAGCTATTATCATTGATGCCAAGTTTAAACAAGACATGGGTATGCAATTGTATATAAAGGACTGCAAGCTCAAAGTAATAAGTATTGTACTGTCTATACTTAGCATTCATGGGCATTTGAATGGCAAGAGGATAAAGACAAATTTAAAGAGCTGGTTAGCGGGTCATTTTGATAAAAAACAAAGATATTTATTAAAAGCCGTTCAATATGTATATTTATCATTTTAAATAATCACCTTCGTGATACATCGAATGCCACACAGTTGACATTTCACTTGACGATGTCATATATAAAACAACTCGTCGCATACCTGACAGGAAGAGTTCTTTGGTAACTGACATTCTCTACATATACGTTAACTGAAACTTTTAAAGATTGAAACTGTATACCAATAAAATAATCATAATCCAAACTCAACATTACCTTCCGTGAGTGTGTAAGTCAGCTGTCTCATTGGTCTACAACATTACCTTCCGTGAGTGTGTAAGTCAGCTGTCTCATTGGTCTACAACATTACCTTCCGTGAGTGTGTAAGTCAGCTGTCACATTGGTCTACAACATTACCTTCCGTGAGTGTGTAAGTCAGCTGTCTCATTGGTCTACAACATTACCTTCCGTGAGTGTGTATGTCAGCTGTCACATTGGTCTACAACATTACCTTCCGTGAGTGTGTATGTCAGCTGTCACATTGGTCTACAACATTACCTTACGTGAGTATGTAAGTCAGCTGTCTCATTGGTCTACAACATTACCTTCCGTGAGTGTGTAAGTCAGCTATCTCATTGGTCTACAACATTACCTTCCGTGAGTGTGTATGTCAGCTGTCTCATTGGTCTACAACATTACCTGAGTGTGTAAGTCAGCTGTCTCATTGGTCTACAACATTACCTTCCGTGAGTGTGTAAGTCAGCTGTCTCATTGGTCTACAACATTACCTTCCGTGAGTTGTCAGCTGTCAGTGTGAGTGTGTAAGTCAGCTGTCACATTGGTCTACAACATTACCTTCCGTGAGTGTGTAGCTGTCAGCTGTCGTGAGTGTGTATGTCATTGTCTACAACATTACCTTCCGTGAGTGTGTACAACATTGGTCTACAACATTACCTTCCGTGAGTGTGTATGTCAGCCGTCTCATTGGTCTACAACATTACCTTCCATGAGTGTGTAAGTCAGCTGTCTCATTGGTCTACAACATTACCTTCCGTGAGTGTGTATGTCAGCTGTCTCATTGGTCTACAACATTACCTTCCGTGAGTGTGTAAGTCAGCTGTCACATTGGTCTACAACATTACCTTCCGTGAGTGTGTATGTCAGCTGTCACATTGGTCTACAACATTACCTTCCGTGAGTGTGTATGTCAGCTGTCACATTGGTCTACAACATTACCTTCCGTGAGTGTGTAAGTCAGCTGTCACATTGGTCTACAACATTACCTTCCGTGAGTGTGTAAGTCAGCTGTCACATTGGTCTACAACATTACCTTCCGTGAGTGTGTATGTCAGCTGTCACATTGGTCTACAACATTACCTTCCGTGAGTGTGTAAGTCAGCTGTCTCATTGGTCTACAACATTACCTTCCGTGAGTGTGTAAGTCAGCTGTCTCATTGGTCTACAACATTACCTTCCGTGAGTGTGTATGTCAGCTGTCTCATTGGTCTACAACATTACCTTCCGTGAGTGTGTAAGTCAGCTGTCTCATTGGTCTACAACATTACCTTCCGTGAGTGTGTAAGTCAGCTGTCTCATTGGTCTACAACATTACCTTCCGTGAGTGTGTAAGTCAGCTGTCTCATTGGTCTACAACATTACCTTCCGTGAGTGTGTAAGTCAGCTGTCTCATTGGTCTACAACATTACCTTCCGTGAGTGTGTAAGTCAGCTGTCACATTGGTCTACAACATTTAACTGGATACAAGACTAGAACACAAGATTCTTATCGTCAGTCAATGTGTTATTGTTTTTGATGGGTATTTATAATTTCAGAAGGTAATGCAATATACTTGATGTACAAATAGTTTACATGTACAAACATATTTAACAAACATGATAAGTTCTTTATTGATTTCTGTAACATAAGGTGTCTTCATTCATCTACTGGATGCCTTGTCATATATAATTTAGGTACCGTTATGATTCATTGTAAATAAATCACAAATACACTGTATTTAACGATACATACACAACATTTGTTATTTACAGCACAGAGGTATATAATGTAATGTTTGCAGAAAACTGTATTCATTACTAAAGTGTTAATCAAACAAAATTGATGTTCTCCAGTCGTTCAGGCCAATTTCAGGAAATGTTTTAAATGGTCATTTTTATCACCTTTTCTCGGTCTGAGATAATCAATGTTACATTCTAGTTATTTATTGTATAATTGTATTGACATACGAGGCTGGTATTATAATGAAGCTCTTAAATTTAAAAAACAATCAATATCATGGAGTAGGATTGGCCGTTTTTTCAATTCAAAATCCATAGTATTGAACAGACATATGCCGCTGAACAAGTGTGTAATAACGACAAGTAACAGAAAACAGATTACAACTATGTAGATATCTAGTTGTGTTAAGCAGGTTACATAGAGTGATTTAAGATGACCTATGACGTCAAGCTTAGGGGAATATACATAAAGAACACAAAATGTCATGGACCAGCTACCATTATCTAAAATTTAGATTTGAAGATACTCATCAATATCAAAATTATGACAGAAGTGAAACGAGAGCATGCTGCTTTCGATTCATTTTCCGGATGGACAAAATCCCATTCTGTCCATCATTATTAAGATGACCAGCAACTAAAACGTAAAATAGAAATGAGTCTGCTTTTCTGATGTCAAATCATGATCGTCCAGTGTATATATACAAATGTATACATATTGATCTTAAGATAAGAAGAAATGTACTGAACATGTTCATTATATAGGTAGCAGGAAACGGTTAATTCGTAGTTTTCCTGCAATTGTTGGTCAGGTTTGAGATTTACAGGTGTAGCAGTTTGGAAAAATTCATCACTATATGTATATATATTTATAAACAACATAACAATTACATTAAAAGTAGAAAGATAACCTGATAGAAAAATTATGACTGAAGACCTGTCTTAAAATCAACAACACTGTCATGGTAACACACTACTTACATTTCAGCAAATTCAAACTCGGTAATCCTTCGCAACATGACCACATGTAAACACGATGAAACTTTCGCTATTTGTAAAGCTAGATTTTGGTGCGTAGCTAGAGATTCGAGACTGCCAAAACAATAATCTGCAACACAAAGCTAAAATATTCTTCTGAAAAAAAGAATCCATACACTGTCGTCTTTAACATCACAAGACCAATTTTAGCAAGGATTTATCTTTTAAATTTGGATTAGAACCTTTATAATGGGGTAATCTAATGAACAAAATTATCGCCCTTGGCCACACCATGAAACTGTGTACTGCTACCTATATGAGTTTCTAGGGATGCAGGCTGATTATGTTATTTGGTAGTGTGAAAATAATCTCATTAGGAAACATGAATATAGAGTTATACGTGTCTAATGCTTATAGATATGCCTAGTGATGTCATTGTTAACCTTGTTCTCATATAGGGACGTAACATAACTTGAATTGTGGGGTCTTCTTTTATGTAGATAAAACAATCCACTTCCGGAACAACTGGTCTGATACTTCTTATCTGATAGGGTCTGTTTCCAATAGCTTGAATTCGTTGTTATATATCAGCAGTCAGCTAACAGCTACATTTACAACAAAGGGTTTCTAGAGATGTACATAGATAAAGGTTACGAAAAGATCGTGTTATCGTCGTAATGATCACACGATATACTTAATTTCATCATAACATAACAAGTGTTTCTGATGCTCTTTAAATGTCGGCTCGTGTCTTTGTAATGTGCATCTGGTTCTTATTTGATAATGTGACATTGATCGAGGTTCTCGTTGCGAATACCGTTGATGACGCAAGAAAAGCTTACTCGGAGTAGTCTTGTTTGTTTTGTGTTTTTTAATGGTATCCATGCTGATCGCTCATTTATATCTTCCCTAGCTCCATCGATTTTTGATTGCGTTATGATTTTTTTGCCATGCTACTTTCACGAATTATAATGTAAAATGTTTTTTTTTTAAATGTGGTATAGTAAACTGTAGTAAACAGTCTTACAGAATCTCTTTTTCAACTCTGATGTAAAGCGTGCTGTTATCTATATAGGAAATGTGTATATCTAATATCTTCTGTAAAACTGGAAATTTGACTTCAGTCATATTTGAACAGCCTAAAGGCAATGCAGTTTGCATGATTTAATCTTCTTCATTAGACCTAGAAAGAACAGTACTGAAATTGTGTCATAGCTGTAAATGTTTCCGACTGTTTAAGCGAATTGGTCTCTTCTTTAAGGACTCTTAAGGTCTTGGGAAACTGAACGATAAGTCACAGGTAACATTAAAGTTTTTTAATTACCAGCAAAACAGGCAGTTAATTGTGAAAACAGACTCACCCTAATAGAAAGTGAGATTAAAGACCAATATAGAGAAATACATGTTCTGCTCAATATCTAAAATATAGTTGTAAACGTTCTAAACTGAACTGAGAGTACGCCTGTCTTTCAATTGAGCTACATTACATATACAAGGAGTGATGTCGTACCCAGAGATAATGTCATCATACAGAATTTTTAAAGAGTTTATTCATAACGTTATGAGACTCCCTGGCGGGGAATGGATAAATCAATGTTATGTAAATTAATAAGGATTTCATGTTTTTCATTAAAATATAGAAGTATTTCCCTTTGTATCTTATCTTTTGGCATATTTCATGTGTTGTTATAATCTGGGAGACCATATGGAGAACTAATGAGAGATAGGGAGCTTACTTAAAACCCTTTTCTGATACCAATAGAATCCGATTAAAATCGATATGATAGTAGATAATAAGAGGAAAGAACCCCTATAGAGACATACAATTGCAGAGATAATTACAGTGTGCAGTTACTAGAACGAACCGTGTAAAGCATGGCCTGCTTGTGTACATGATTGAACTGGATATGATTGTGCAAAAGTCAACATCCGATGAATTTCGAAATAATCCAAATAATGCTTTAAAAGACATTGCAGGCACAGCATGTGACCTAATACAATTAACTTAATTGTTTTCAATCTTGGTCACAGAATAAAATATTGCAATGCTAACTTTAAGTAAATAAACCAGTGCTTTATTTCCGTTTGTAAATAAACCTATTTCGTAATAGTCAAGAACAACTAGAATTGCCAACATGTGAACAGAATCTTAATCCAAACTGAAATACAATTTAAAAATAGGGCAAAATAGGAACAAATAAATTTTTTCATGCCTCTGGAAAAACTTTTTGGAAAATAAAACATGGTGTTCCGGAAGAATACGCGACTTCTGCTTTATCGGAAGACACCCACTATGTAAATCTATGTCAATCCAGGGAGTAATGTGACGTTCGGAAATGATAACAATTTGTACATCAACGGAACCTACAGGCAATGTAATTAGCATCAAACACGTTTAATTGTTTTTAGTTTTGACAAAGGTTTGGCTGAACAGCTAGACGAGTCAGTAATAAAACGCTGTATATAAGAAATTTTGTAAAGTTAAAAAATCCACTATAAACGGAGGAGGCCGTATCCTTATCATTGATAAGACAATCTAAACAATTGTAATATGGAAGCATGATTAGCCAGTATTTCGTTTTTGGACAGATTGCATAATGCATAGATGAGGTTTTCTTCTTTATCAAGCAAAATAAGTTCTTATATATAAATGTCTGCAGAAAAGTTATTTAACATCTTATTGGCAGGCACAATAACATACCTGTTCTGTATATTTTGAAATGTGCATTTAACATCAGAATAGAAAATCTGTGTTTTGTTTATACTTTAGATTTCAAACAGCTAATCATTTTTAAAATGATGGACCGAATTATTTAAACTCACTTTGAAACTGAATCCAAGGCAGCGTTTTCTCGATTCACTCATTCTTTGACATAGTTTCAACGGAATTTATATCTTACAATTCATATTCCAGTTATTTGACGGGTTTGTCTATATTTAGGACCCTCCGTGGCAAGCTCTATCAGCCAAATATTTTTACCTAAATCTCCTGTCACTATGGAACCACATTGACCATAGCTATAAGTAGAGGTTGAACAAGGACGGGTGGGTATTAGGAAGGAATGAATCCTGGATGAAAATCAAGATGAACAAGGATTAAAGATAGTCCGAAAAAACAATGAGTTCGATATGGTCTCATACATCGGATTATTATCTTGATATCAAAATTGAAATGAACCAATTATAACCTTTGTACTCTTAAAATGTTTGTAAGGATATGGGAATATATCATTACAAAGTGTGTTCTTAAACTCAAGCTGTTTTTTCCGGATAATACGATGGCCATTCAGAACCACTTCTTAGTATCGGGTAGTTGATTGTTTTAGAATTTGTAAAACTTTATATCAAATCAATTATTTCCCTTGTATTTTTTTCTTTATCTGCTATCTTCGGTAAGAGCTATCGAATTTTTATTCTGACAAATCTGTGAATTTTTGGTATGTAGTTTCACAAAGTATCATTTCTCTTCGCGTTAAAAGTCAGCATCTCGTAAAAAATTCCATACGTCTAATGATTTAGCTGTTAGAAACTCTGACCTGCTATATAATGGAAATTAACGATAACGTAAGCTCCTTTTATGGATCCTGTCATGCCTCATCTAGACTAGTAACAATGATTTTATAAGAAATATGATTAGGTATATTGCATATCAGAACATGACCCTTATACCTGCTGAAGTTACTCGCGCGAACAATTATGACGTGATAGATATAACCACGGAGACTGTTAAATATGCGTCTCGTCTTCGGTGAAGAAATAAACCTGATCATATGGAACACAAAATTAAGGTAAAAAATCTATTAGAGCTTACATTAACGGTCGAAAAAGGTACAGACTGTATTTCAAGAACAATAAATGCCTGACAGTTTAAAGAATAATGAAGCATTCAAAAAATTGCATATGAAGTCACCTATATCTGCTGACTGAGGTCTGCAGTGACACATTGTTGTCTTAGCCTGCCGAAGGACGTATCGTTTCCGACTCTTCTCAGAACGCTATTCTATTCGCCTGGCAAAAATCCAATACAATCGATTGTTTGCTTTATATAAACAAGAATGTATGACTCGACTCACACGAGATACGTGACGAAACTTAAAACATGGAATATTCACTTGCATTTGGTGTCATTTTAACAAATATCATAGAAATAGTTTGCGCTTCTAACGGAAAGTTCATTAAGATTAATGGATATAAGTTATCTGGCGCGTTTTCTATTTGGAATTTTTACTTTAATGGCACAAGACTTAAATGTGCGGAAACATGTCTCCAGACCACGTGTTTGTCGTTTAACTATCATAGCCAGACTGAAGAGTGTCAACTGAATACAGAGTCCCACTATACCAACCCATTGATAGTACAGGAAGCACAAGACTGGGCATTATACTATTTACACAAAGGTAAGAATTAGATGAATATGGAAGCTGTACTCTTCATAATTATCGTAAAACAAATATGTGGAGAGCACATCACAAGAAAAAAGACAACCGTTGATGATTACAATAAAGTCATTTTAAGATAAAAGAAAACGTATATAAAAATCTGGATGTCATCAAAAAACATTATTGGTGCATTACTACAAATTACTACAAAGATAAAAAGTTCTGTCACTATGTTGTATGATGTTCACATTTCGATATCAGTCCGATCATAAAATGGCTATAATACCCACACGTAGACCTCAATCTTCTTGCTTTTTGTTTACACTACCCACATGTAGACCTCAATATTCTTACTTATTGGATACAATACCCACACGTAGACCTCAATCTTCTTACTTATTGTTTACACTACCCACATGTAGACTTCAATCTTCTTACTTATTGTTTACACTACCCACATGTAGACCTCAATCTTCTTACTTATTGGTTACACTACCCACATGTAGACTTCAATCTTCTTATTGGCTACACTACCCACATGTAGACCTCAATCTTCTTATTGGCTACACTACCCACATGTAGACCTCAATCTTCTTACTTATTGGTTACACTACCCACATGTAGACCTCAATCTTCTTACTTATTGGTTACACTACCCACATGTAGACTTCAATCTTCTTACTTATTGGTTACACTACCCACATGTAGACTTCAATCTTCTTACTTATTGGCTACACTACCCACATGTAGACTTCAATCTTCTTACTTATTGGATACACTACCCACATGTAGACTTCAATCTTCTTACTTATTGGTTACACTACCCACATCTAGACTTCAATCTTCTTACTTATTGGCTACACTACCCACATGTAGACTTCAATCTTCTTACTTATTGGCTACACTACCCACATGTAGACTTCAATCTTCTTACTTATTGGTTACACTACCCACATGTAGACTTCAATCTTCTTACTTATTGGTTACACTACCCACATGTAGACTTCAATCTTCTTACTTATTGGATACACTACCCACATCTAGACTTCAATCTTCTTACTTATTGGCTACACTACCCACATATAGACTTCAATCTTCTTACTTATTGGCTACAATGTCCACATGTAGACCTCAATCTTCTTACTTATTGGTTACACTACCCACATGTAGACTTCAATCTTCTTACTTATTGGTTACACTACCCACATGTAGACTTCAATCTTCTTACTTATTGGTTACACTACCCACATGTAGACTTCAATCTTCTTACTTATTGGCTACACTACCCACATGTAGACTTCAATCTTCTTACTTATTGGTTACACTACCCACATGTAGACTTCAATCTTCTTACTTATTGGCTACACTACCCACATGTAGACTTCAATCTTCTTACTTATTGGCTACACTACCCACATGTAGACTTCAATCTTCTTACTTATTGGTTACACTACCCACATGTAGACTTCAATCTTCTTATTGGCTACACTACCCACATGTAGACTTCAATCTTCTTACTTATTGGCTACACTACCCACATGTAGACTTCAATCTTCTTACTTATTGGATACACTACCCACATGTAGACTTCAATCTTCTTACTTATTGGTTACACTACCCACATGTAGACTTCAATCTTCTTACTTATTGGCTACACTACCCACATGTAGACCTCAATCTTCTTACTTATTGGTTACACTACCCACATGTAGACTTCAATCTTCTTACTTATTGGTTACAATACCCACATGTAGACTTCAATCTTCTTACTTATTGGCTACACTACCCACATGTAGACTTCAATCTTCTTATTGGCTACACTACCCACATGTAGACTTCAATCTTCTTACTTATTGTTTACACTACCCACATGTAGACTTCAATCTTCTTACTTATTGGTTACACTACCCACATGTAGACTTCAATCTTCTTATTGGCTACACTACCCACATGTAGACTTCAATCTTCTTACTTATTGGTTACACTACCCACATGTAGACTTCAATCTTCTTACTTATTGGTTACACTACCCACATGTAGACTTCAATCTTCTTACTTATTGGTTACACTACCCACATGTAGACTTCAATCTTCTTACTTATTGGTTACACTACCCACATATAGACTTCAATCTTCTTACTTATTGGCTACAATGTCCACATGTAGACTTCAATCTTCTTACTTATTGGTTACACTACCCACATGTAGACCTCAATCTTCTTACTTATTGGCTACACTACCCACATGTAGACTTCAATCTTCTTACTTATTGTTTACACTACCCACATGTAGACCTCCATCTTCTTACTTATTGGCTACAATATCTACATGTAGATTTTCCACACATCTTTGTATGTCACCTAAAAGACAAGGTTTACTGTGTATAGTTCATTAAGTCTGTTTGGACCAGTGTTACTGTCTTCTTGGTCTAATGTCCACATGTAGACTTCAATCTTCTTACTTATTGGCTACACTACCCACATGTAGACTTCAATCTTCTTACTTATTGGCTACACTACCCACATGTAGACTTCAATCTTCTTACTTATTGGTTACAATGTCCACATGTAGACCTCAATCTTCTTATTGGCTACACTACCCACATGTAGACTTCAATCTTCTTACTTATTGGCTACACTACCCACATGTAGACCTCAATATTCTTACTTATTGGTTACAATACCCACGCGTAGACCTCAATCGTCTTATTGGCTACACTACCCACGCGTAGACCTCAATCTTCTTATTGGCTACACTACCCACATGTAGACCTCAATCTTCTTACTTATTGGTTACAATACCCACGCGTAGACCTCAATCTTCTTATTGGCTACACTACCCACGCGTAGACCTCAATCTTCTTATTGGCTACACTACCCACATGTAGACCTCAATCTTCTTACTTATTGGTTACAATACCCACGCGTAGACCTCAATCTTCTTATTGGCTACACTACCCACGCGTAGACCTAAATCTTCTTATTGACTACACTACCCACATGTAGACTTCAATCTTCAAGAATGATATCGAGGAGCATGAACTTTACCCTATTTGTTATTTCATGGCTAGTCAACATTGCTATATTAATAAATAAAGGTTCAAAGCATTTTATGACTTGGCGGTATGCAAGAAAATTCTAGGTAAACAAAATGGTTTGGAAAACATTCTGATTTTAATTATTATCACTGCTTAGAAATCACTAAAAACTATAGAGTTCCACCATATTTTAACGATCGATTCCAAGATTTCATTCAACGACCAAACTTATAGTCAAATGCTTTGTTTATACCTTTTACATGAACAAATATTACTTTATGGTAGAATCAGTAACAATAACATTCAAATATTTGAAGTTGACTTTCCTCAATCCACAACTACCCCCCACACACAAACACACACACACGCACGCACGCACGCACGCACGCACGCACGCACGCACACACACACACACATACAAACATATATATATATGTATATATCTTTGTTTCAACTTTTATTGACCACTCTTGATGTATGTGCTCGAAAGGTTTTACTGAGAAGGGCACGAGAACCGGGAAAACACATTTTAGGAAATCCAACCCCGGACAGCTAGGTTAAAGACGAGTGTGTTACCACTGAGCTATTCTACAATAAAAAAGAAGAAGAAGAAGAAGAAGAAGAAGAAGAAGAAGAAGAAGAAGAAGAAGAAGAAGGAGAAGAAGAAGAAGAAGAAGAAGAAGAGGAGGAGGAGGAGGAGGAGGAGAAAGAAGAAGATTTTAATGTTCATTTTGAAGGAATGTGAAAAATATAAATCAAATAATGATGATAAAAATATTTTTAATAAGCCCACGATTTAATGAAGCTATGAATCAAACAATCCATCATTTGAATTTTGTTAATTAACTTGCGCTAGCACGTAGGCTGTTCCTGCTTCATATTGGCTGTTATATAAAAACCAATCGACCTGTTCATCATGATATATTGAATGTGTTATCCAGCTGAACAATACTAATATTTGATACATGTTGTCTCTGTAATGTGATACATTGATCGGGTATCCAATTAATTAATATGTAGTAAACTATCTAACATGTAATTATGAGCTTTTACGCTCTATATTTACAGTTGTAATCGGTATCGACTGGTTTACGTAAATAACATATTACTGTTACAAGCGATGATAGAACAAGTCTAGCTAACAATGTAACAATATGCCAACGATAGCGACACTTCTGTATCGTATGTACTATCTCCTTTGGGATATTATATAACATAACACACTATCCATGAGAAATAAGCTATGACGAAGTTTTAGATTGCTTACTATGATTTTTAATTTCGATGCAATTTCAGAGATCGTACAAAAGACATTATAAGCGAATAAAAACCTATTGAAAATTATTAATACTATTCAAATTATGCGTCAAGACATACAATGGTCTAGAAAATAGTAATAACTGTTTTTCCCAGGAGATGACAGTATCAAAAATGTGTCGAGCCATTCTCGTTATGACGGAGAGTGACAGCAACTTAATGATTTAGAGGGAATTATATGGGGAATAAGGGGAAGTAGAAAATCAACCTTTCATAAAAGGGATATTATTTATGAATAATTTATCTCACGCCCTTCTAATGAAATAATCGCATGGTTATTGAACACTATTCAGTTTTGCAGGATCGATATCTTTATCGTGCATATACCAATTCTATAACACGAGCTGTTGACAGAGTGCGTATATGGAGATTGTTTTTATGGTCGCCATAGTGATATCACTTCTCATTTTTTATGTGACATGAAGCTGGACGTGACGTATTTGATGCTCGTTAGTTTGGCTGTTGGTTCCGTTGTTGTATACCTTGCTCTCATTTGAGAACGTGACCTTACTTACTTGGATTGACCAAAGTTTACATGGCGGGTGTCGTCGATGAAGCACAACACGCTTACTGCGGAACACATGATCTTATTAACGGGTCTTCGTGTAAATCTTTCTTTTGTTAATATTTTACCCTAGTTGTATAGAATTTGAGTTTGAATTCT